CGGTTACCTCATCTCCATCGTGGTGACCTCTTCATCATGGTGACCTCCATCATGGTGTCCTCATCTCTATCCTGGTGACCTCATCTCCATCGTGGTGACCTCCATTGTGGTGGCCTCTATCATGATGACCTCATCTCCATCACGGTGACCTCATCTCCATCGTGGTGACCTCTGAATCATGGTGACCTCCATCATGGTGGCCTCCATCATGGTGACCTCATCTCCATCACGGTGTCCTCTTCTCCATCGTGGTGACCTTTTCATCCTGGTGATCTCTTCTCCATCACGGTGACCTCATCTCCATCATGGTGGCCTCCATCGTGGTGACCTCATCTCCATCGTGGTGATCTCCATTGTGGTGGCCTCTATCATGATGACCTCATCTCCATCACGGTGACCTCATCTCCATCGTGGTGTCCTCTTCTCCATCGTGGTGACCTCTTCATCATGGTGGCCTCTCATCATGGTGGCCTCCATCCTGGTGGCCTCTTCTCCATCACAGTGACCTCTTCTCCATCGTGGTGCCCTCTTCATCATGGTGACCTCCATCATGGTGGCTTCCATCACGGTGACCTCATCTCCATCGTGGTGGCTTCCATCCCGGTGACCTCACCTCCATCGTGGTGTCCTCTTCTCCATCATGGTGACCTCCATCATGGTGGCCTCCATCCTGGTGGCCTCTTCTCCATCACAGTGACCTCTTCTCCATCGTGGTGGCCTCATCTCCATCATGGTGGCCTCTTCATCATGGTGGCCTCCATCCTGGTGGCCTCTTCTCCATCACAGTGACCTCATCTCCATCGTGGTGGCCTCATCTCCAACATGGTGGCGTCTTCATCATGGTGACCTCCATCATGGTGACCTCATCTCCATCATGGTGATCTCTTCTCTATCGTGGTGTCCTCTTCTCCATCATGGTGACATCCATCACAGTGACCTCTTCTCCATCGTGGTGACCTCATCTCCATCGTGGTGAGGTGCATTCATCCTGGTCTTGTCTTCTCCATCTAACCTCTTCTCCATCATGGTGATCTCATCTCCATCATGGTGGCCTCTTCATCATGGTGTCCTCTTCTCCATTGTGGTGACCTCATCTCCATCATGGTCCTTTCTTCTCCATCGTGGTTCTTCCCGAGATAACATTGTCCACCATGGCCCTCTTCTCCATCACGCTGGCCTCTTCTCCATCGTGGTCCTTTCTTCATCAGAGTTCCTCCTGGGACACCATTGTCCATCGTGGTCTTCTCTTCTCCATCATGGTCCTTCCTGGGACACCACTGGACATCCTGGTGTCCTCTTCTCCATCCTGCTCCTCTCTTCTCCATCACAGTTCCTCCTGGCACACCATTGTCCATCATGATCCTTCCTGGAACGTCATTCTCCATCATGGTCTTGTGTTCTCCATCACAGTGGAGACACCATTGTCCATCCTGGTCTTGTCTTCTCCATCATGGTCCCTCCTGGACCATTGTTCTTCATCGTGGTGCCCCATTCTCCATCATGTTCTCTCCTGGTTCTCTCTTCTCCATCCTGGTCCCTCCTGGAACATCATTGTCCCTCCTGGTTCCCTTTTCTCCATCTTGGCCAACTTTTCTCCAACATGGTCCTTCCTGGTCCCTTCCTGGTGCCCTTTTCTCCATCCTGGTCCCTCCTGGGACACACCATTGTCCATCCTGGTCTTGTCTTCTCCATCATGGTCCCTCCTGGTCCCCTCTTCTCCATCTTGGTCCCCTTTTCTCCATCATGGTCTCTCCTGAAACATTGTTCTCCATCATGGTCCCTCCTGGTTCCATTGTCCATCCTGGTCTTGTCTTCTCCGTCGTGGTCCCTCCTGGAACGTCATTCTTCATCATGGTGCCCCATTCTCCATCATGGTCCCTCCTGGTCCCCTCTTCTCCATCATGTTCTCCCCTGGTTCCCTCTTCTCCATCCTGCTTTCTCCAGGGACACACCATTGTCCATCCTGGTCTTGTCTTCTCCATCCTGGTCCTTTCTGGTCCCTTCTTCTCCATCCTGGTCCACTCTTCTCCATCATGGTCCCTCCTGGACCCCTTTCTCCATCATGGTCTTGTCTTCTCCATCATGGTCCCTCCTGGGACACACCATTGTCCATCCTGGTCCCCTCTTCTCCATCATGGTCCCCTCTTCTCCATCATGGTCTCTCCTGGGACAAACCATTGTCCCTCCTGGTCCCCTCTTCTCCATCATGGTCTTGTCTTCTCCATCATGGTCCCTCCTGGGACACACCATTGTCCATCATGGTCTTATCTTCTCCATCCTGGTCCCCTCTTCTCCACCGAGGTCCCCGTTGTGGTTGCAGATACGACAACATGGCCGAGCTCTTTGCGGTGGTGAAGACGTTGCAGGCTCTGGAGAAGGCCTACATCAAAGACTGCGTCTCTCCTAACGAGTGAGTCCTCCTTAATCACTGAGAAGGTTGGGTTTAGGTGACACCAGAGATGGTTCCTTGATGTCCCCACGGGGTTGGGGTGACACCAGTGACACCCCCCAGGTACACAGCCGCCTGTTCCCGTCTCTTGGTCCAGTTCAAAGCTGCCCTGAAGCAAGTCCAGGGCTCGGAGATCAGCTCCATCGATGACTTCTGCCGGAGATTCCGGGTGAGTCCTGGTGGCACCGGCACCGGTGGTGGCATCGTCCAACCCACGTTGGTTGGTGTCACTCATGGGGTGGGGGGGGTGTTGTCACTGATCTCCTCACCAGCTGGATTGTCCCTTGGCCATGGAGAGGATCAAAGAAGATCGACCCATCACTATCAAAGATGACAAGGGGAACCTCAACCGCTGCATCGCCGACATCGTCTCCGTACG